TCTCCACCAACTCCCTTGTCTGTTGCTCCCTTGTCGTCTACGGCTTTTGATGCTCGTCGATGAGCTTGACGAGGAGGGGTGGAGCAACGGGAATAAGAGAAAGAGGAGGGGGTGGGACGTCCTCGACGTCTTCGTCAGCAGGCTCACCGAGTTATACGAGCAACTGGAATGTGGCTGTCGAGGTGTTCGTCGGCGGATTAGCACCCTGCGTCCGCCCCGACGCCGGCCCATACTTCGCCTTCCACACCTCCAGCGACAAGGTCTCGTAGAAGATGACATCGAAAAAAGTGACTACCTTGTTGTCTGTTAAGTCTAGCACCTCCCAGCCCTTGCTCTCCGGCGACACACCAAGGTGAAGTCCCCACCGGGCCTTCGGTGCCAGCTTCCCACCGCGCTACAGCTCGGGAACCATGAACTACACCATGCGTAAGATCAGGCTTCTTGCCAGTCAGCAGTTGGTACGACGTTGTCCCCGGCAGTGTCGTCGACCGCTCCAAGCAGTTGCGCACCGAAACAATCTGCCACAGGGCAAGGTGCCACTAGTGGTGCTGCACGCCCATGTGCAGCAGCATCGTCCGCACGGACTCGACGACCGTGCGCATCTCCCGCTCCACCATGCCGTTCTGTTGTGGGGTGTGATGGCACGTCAGATCGTGGACGATGCCCTTCCCGTCGACGAAGTTGGTCAATTCTTTCCCAAGCAACTAACCGCCACGGTCGGAGCGGAGCATCAACACCGACTTATTCGTCTGTCGCTCTGCCACCAGCAGCCACTTCTCGAACTCCCGCAGTACATCGGACTTCTTGGCGACCGGCCTCACCCATGCATACCGAGTGTGGCGGCCCGGCCAGAGCCTCCTCTGCGTCCGAGCCCTTATCGGGGAAGGTGTGCCGCCCAAGCCTCCCGCCGACGCACGATACACAGGGCAAGGCGGCCGTGGTCGATGGCGTGATGTCGATGCTCGTGGCGACCTCATGCTTTGCCGAGCTGTGAATCGTATCGATCCCGACGTGCGCGAGCCCCGCGTGCCACCGGTCGGGAGTCGACTTCGTCGTAGAAGTGATTGTGCACAGAGCCACCACCTCGGGCGTCTTCAACGACAGCTTCGTCGAGCAGGGGCAAAGGTAGCATGCTCGACAGAGTACCTCGCCCGCTCTCGACACAAACGAGCAGCATCCCGTCGCCGTCGTCCTGCAGCTTCATGCCGCTTTCCTGCAACGAGCTGGCTGACAGCAGATCCGCCTGCACACTCGGGACATAGAGCACGTTGAGGATGAAGACCCGCTTCCCGGCCTCCCCTTGTAGAGCAGCAGTGCCGCAGCCTTCTACGGTCTACAGAGCCACGTTGAAGCCACGCACATCGTCGCTCGGCACCAATTCAACAAAGACCTCCTTCGTCCCCATCAGGTGCTGCAAGTAGCTGCTGTCGAGCAGCACCACCAACGGATTCGCTTGCACAGCAGCCGCGACCATTTTGAAGTCCTCGCCAGCCTCCGGCGCCAGCGAGACTGTCGACTCCACCACGCCGACCCGCGAGCACGACGCCTCTGCGTTGCCTCGACCCTTGCCGCTAGAGCTATCGACGTCCTTCATCGATGACGTCTTCTTCGACGTCTGCTTCTCTTTGCGCAGCTTCTCATCCCAACTTCGACGACCATTGACCAACTTCTGCGACCTCCCTAGTGGTCGTCGTCGTCGTCGGAGTCATCACAGTCGGGACAATCGAAATAAAGATGGTCGAGGCCACTGTAGACCCAGCACTCCCGCTGTCGACCACCACCATTTTGACCCTTCTCTCGAGCTGACTTCGTCTGATCAGCATCCTTCGTCGAACGCCCACCTCCGCTACCACCCCCGCCTGGCTTCCCGCACTTCCCCTACTAATGACGCTACTTCGTCGGGGCGGCGTAATTCGCGTGTGGAAGGAGCTTCGTGGGCCGTTCTGCCTCCTACATCGCCTCATCCATGATGATGTGGCTGGTGAGAGTGTCCTCGTCGAGCGACTCTTAAGTAAGTGAACAAGCGGCTACTATTCTAAAGGTAATCTGCGGGGCTGTCCACGCTCACTGCACTATGCGGAGATTTGCTCTACAAGGATGATGGGAGCTAGACTACGGGGTTGGCACGAGTTATGTGAGTGATCGTAGCTTAGCTTGTATTCACTAGCACTTGCACATTTACGACAACAATTGGCAAGGGTTTTACTAGCAAAGTTATCGTGTGGGATTAATGTAAGCCGATCTTCACATTTGATTGTCTGCTCAATCCCACAACAATGGTTGCAATGGCAAACGCCAACAATGACTACATCAAAGCCTAACAACCTAGCAGGCAAGCCGGTCGGCAGTCAGCACAGCATGGTTGACAATCTGCTAGCATTGCGTAGAGGCACCATGCCAGTGCTGCCAAAGGGCGACTAGGCAACAAAGCAAGTCTGCGGCTTGCCAACGCTGCACCAGTAGGTGATAGAAGCGCATGTGCGCACACCCAATTTGCAAGTACGCAGCGACGGTTGAGCACGTGCTCTACCGTCGTGTAGGTTCCAGGTCGGCCACATGCTGTCAGTTGCGTCTGATGTTCCACGTCGTCCTCGGGATACCAGCCCGAGGTCGTCTTCATCATTCGCGACCTCGACGACGGTCGCGCCTCCGCAGAACCTTGTCGAGGAGGTAACCTGGTCGACCGGGTCGACCATCCAGTGCGCGCCCTAGTCAACGACCTTCTTCGTCGACCACCGCGCCTGCCGAAGACCACCCTGGTCGACGGCCCGTCCGTTGACCAACTCGATCAGCAACAGCCGTCGAACTCCCATCGTCGACGGCTCCGCGACAGACCCGCGTAGGTCGACGACCACCTTCGTCGACCTGCCCCTGTCGAAATCGACCACCGGCTCCCCCTCGACGGCGGCATAGCAGCGGTCGGCCGCATGTCGACCACCTCGTCGACCTACACGCCCAAGTCGGCGTTGACCTCTGCTTATGATTGGCTGCAACTCCCGCGTGCCCGACCACAGAGTCGGCTTCGTCCAAGCGAGGGTGGGGCCAACACCCAGTTCCCGTTATCATATGGGACGCTGGAGACGGAGGAAGTGGGAGGAGCATGGTGGATGGTGAGTGTGCTGGTGGTGATGAGGACTGAAGTTGCGATGGTGTGGAGTGGGATGGGATGGGGAGAGGGGAGGTGAGGTGCTGGTGAATGGGATTGCTGATGTGAATTATGAAATCGAGTTAAATAAATATGCTGGAAAGTGACAATGCAGTCCACACATAGGCAGCAGTTTTCCTCATCGAGAGTATCAGTCGGTTATGGTGCAACTTGCCCGTGATGCACCTCTTTGCTACTCCTCTCTCTCACCTCTACCGCTCATCTCTTCCTCCACCTCGTCCAATGTCCCAAGTCACAAAACGAATATTTCACCCGAGCACTCCCCCTGCATCTCCTCGTCTTTTCGTTTCCTCCTTTCACCTCCTCACTCCCCTTTCCGCAACTCCCCTCCGCCCCTCAACGTTTCACTCTGCGAAAACATTAGTACGACGGGTCCAAGGAGAAGGAGAGAGCGGCATCGCAACGTCCATGCGCCCACCCCTTTGCATCTTCCCCTCCCTTCCCGTTCCCCCTCCTTCTCCCCTCCCTCTCCCCCTCCTCCCCCCCCCCCCCCCCGCCCCCCTCTAACGTGTGACCCCGTAAGGGTATCAATACGACGAGGCCAGAGAGACAAAGATAGTGGCGCGGCGGGCACGGCGGTTTGTAGAGGAACAGAAAGAACTGAGTCGGGAGGAGTGGGATACGGTGAAGCAGCGCGGCCTCGGAGGCCCTATGAGAGCGCCTTGACTCGCTCAGGGGCACGGATCCGCACGGGATCATGGCCGCCTATGGTATCTTATGTTTGATCATGATCGTCCATGATGCGTGGGGTTTGATCGTGGCCATCTATGAAATGGAGGTTTGATTATAGCAGTCTATGGTAAACGAGACCTGATGAGAGCCGTGAGCATCACGGATGTGATGGTTGGTCATGAGCCCCGTGTTCCCACTAACTGTCTTTACAATTTACATGGTGGGATCAGTGTGCATGTACCGTTTGCGAAAGCAGATGTTAGGCTCTGGTTGGTGTTGTGGTGAATGTTTTTGTATTTTCGTCACCACGTGTTTGTTCTAGTGCTTTTCTGCTTATTTTTTCATTGACAGGGCAACATAGTCAGCTCGGTAAGTGTTGTGTTGACGGATTCGATGAAGAGAGCAGAAAGTGGCAAAAACTCGATATAATTGTACACACTGGTTCATTTTTTATATGAAATTGGTTTTTTTTGCCCTTTTTTTTCTGTCTGATGGTGTTTTCTTTTCAATTTAATGAGTTATCATGGTTTACTTCTAGAGTGGGACTTATGAACAGCTTCGATACGAAATATAACATGGCATTTCAACCACGTTTGTGAACTTGTCCGTGTCTGTATCGCGGACGGGTTACGACGAAATCGAGGAACGAAGGGGGCCTTCCGTCTTGACGCCGATTGCTGTCCGCCAGTCACGCCCACCTCCCTACCCTCCCACTCCCACTCCCTATTTGTTTCACGCCACGCCACGCCCTGCTTCCACAAGCGGCCCCTTCTTTCTCCAATTCCTACTTCCTTACGGGATAGAAAACAATCTCAGGGGCACTTCCGCGTGCATCAGATTTTAGCAGGGGCAGCACCCGTTAGCTGATCTGATTCGTGGAGCGCCCTGTCCGTGTTCCTCCTCAATCGGTTTCTTGCTTCCGTACCGAATTCTGATTCGCCGCTCGATTCAGATACGGCAGCCCTTTCGAAAGAGTCTATTATCGGGGCGCCTCATAAATTAGTCGTCCCTTTCCAGGAACCACGGCGGTTTCGAGGGACTACGGCTCGCGATGGGGAGCGACGGCGACGGCGACGGCGAGGCGGGGATGCGGATGCAGCTCGTGTCGGGGACGGGCGAGTTCGATCGCGAGGGTCTCGAGCGATTCGCGCGTGCGACGCGCATGACGGAGTGCGGGCTTTCGTACGCCGTTATCGCCATCGTCGGACCGCAGAGCAGCGGTACGCGCCTTGCTTGTCCCTACCCTCCCCTGCTGCTCGCCCCTTGCTTCTTGCTTCACGCGTAAAGCTCTCGCTAGCTCCATGACCCCGTGGGTTCAGCGAATCTCGCAGCCATGTCATGGGCTTCTGTTGGTGCCTCAGCGCCCATCGTCACTCCTTGAAACCGTATCTCACCGCGGTTCCCCTGGTCTTGCGGATGGCACGGCGCAGCTGCATGCTGCCTGCACCATGCTGTTGTGATTTCTCACTCGAATTCTGAATTGAAAAGTAAGAAAAAATATTCGAAGCCATGCAGCGCGCTGCGCTCACGTGGTATTGTGAAGCGGAGATGGGCCCTGCCCTCTTGCTGCGGCTTATCGTTGAGCCCTCATCCCCCCATATGGTGCCACCCACGCGGCCTGTGGCTCACCCATTCTGGACTTGGGTCAAACGCTTGTCTGCCACGCCACCACTCTTGTTGTTGTGTTACTTGTTTTGTACAACCATGTCAACCCCGTGTCACCCTCGTATCACCCTCGTGTCACCACCGGCATGTCACCCGTGTGTGGGCAGGCAAGAGCACGCTGCTGAATCATCTCTTCCACACCACCTTCGATGAGATGGACGCTCTCAAGGGCAGGTAAGCGGCTGCTTCGGTGGGGGCTGCTTCGGTGGGGGCTGTTTCGATGGGGGCTGCTTGGATGGGGGCTGCTTGGATGGGGGCTGCTTGGATGGGGGCTGCATGGATGGGGGCTGCATGGATGGGGGCTGCATGGATGGGGGCTGCATGGATGGGGGCTGCATGGATGTCTCTCCGCTCCGGTTGCTCCTGTTCCTCTCCCCAATCACATTGAATTCTACCAGCACGCATCACCTCACCGGGCATGTGGCCTGCGGTTTTCCTCCTTGTTGCCTTGCGTCCAACTCCAACCCTTTCGTGTCGCCACAACCTTCTCACAACCTCAAAGTCCATTGTCCCCCCTCACCTCACTTTTCCCTCATTCGTCTCCCTTCCCCGCTCCTTCCCCACCCCCACCCACGTTCCCTGTCCTGCTGCGTGGCAGGCGGCAGACGACGCAGGGCATCTGGGTGGCGGAGGCGCGGGGCATTCGGCCGTTCACCCTCGTGCTGGACATCGAGGGCACTGACAGCCGCGAGCGCGGCGAGGTGCGGGGCAGGGGGAGGCACGAGCAGGGGCGAGGTGGGGGAGAGGGAAAGTAAAACGAGGGGCAAGGTGAAGGGAAGGGGGTGGGGAGGGTGGTGTGAGGGACAAGGTGAGGTGTGCTGTTAAAGCAAGGGGGGCTTATGAGCGGATTCAAGAGGCATTAACCCTCATGATTCACATCAAAGGAACCGCTGACAGCTGCAAAGGGGGTGTGATGGGCAGCGAATGGAGGATTTAGAAGGCCTGATCGGCCAACTTATGGCCCCCTTCCCTCCGCTCCGCTCCATGCCTCATCAATTCCGTTTCCTGCCCTCGCCTTCCTCCCTCGCCTTCCTCCCTCGCCTTCCTCCCTCTACCAACCCCACCCCATCCACTCCACCCCATTTCGAACCCCCTTCTTTCATCCCCTCTTCACCGCCCCCCATCTCCCCCTCTCCCTTGTGCCTGCGGGCAGGACGGAGATTTATGTCCCGTGCTTAACCCCCCTTCCCTCCCTTTTTTCCCGTCCACCTCCTCCCCCCGCTACCGCCCTCTCTCCAATCTGCACCTGTGCACAGGACGACACCTTATTCTTCCTGCCTAACCCACTTCTCCCCGCCCTTCCCCCTCCCTCTCCCCTTCCCTCTCCCCCTCCCCTCTCCCCCCCCCCTCCCCTCACTGCACCTGTGCAGGACGACACCACGTTTGAGAAGCAGAGCTCGCTCTTCGCCCTCGCTGTCGCTGACGTCATCATTGTTAACATGTAGGGACGCGTGGGCAGCATGACGAAACACTTTGGCAGCATGTCACATTACATGACATGACATGACATGCCATGCATAGTCACACAATTGCAGTGTGTCTTATGTGCCTTTGGCTCGCCTTGCTTCCTTTGTTCCTTGCAATGGAATCATCCCACATCGTGGTACATCCGTCCATTGCCCTCCTCTCACCCCCCATCCATCACCACTTTGTTTCACGCTCAACTGCGAGGCTGACTTGCCTCACAACGTCTCATTGTGCTGCATGATCGTCCATTACGCTGCCCTGTGCTGTCCTGCCGTGCCATGCCAGGTGGTGCCACGACATTGGTCGAGAGCAAGCTTCCAACAAACCGTTGCTCAAGACGGTGTTTCAGGTGCGCTGCTGTGTGTATGCGGTGGGTGGGTGTGTGTGTGTGTGTGTGTGTGTGTGTGTGTGTGTGTGTGCGCGCGCGCTGTGTTCTCTGTGTGTGTGTGCGCTGTGTTCTCTGTGTGTGTGTGCGCTGTGTTCTCTGTGTTGTGTGCGCTGTCTGTATGCGTGCTGTGAGGGCCACCTCCCTGCTTCTCGCGTGCTCTTTTGTGCGGATCGTGTCTCTTCCTGAGCAACACTCTCCCCCCACCCTCTCTCCCCCCACCCTCTCTCCCCCCACCCTCTCTCCCCCCACCCTCTCTCGCCTGTCCCCTCTCCTCTTCCCGGCAGGTGATGATGCGCCTCTTCACGCCCCGCAAGGCCACACTGCTCTTTGTTATCCGCGATAAGACCAAGGTGGGTCGCACGCCACACGCCACATGCCACACGCCACAGCCACACGCCACAGCCACATGGCACACACACTCTTCTGCATCGCTGCCGCCCTGCCTGCTCTCAGGAGCTGACGTTGCAGCGTGCGCCATGCGTCTCATTTCACCTCTGAGTGTGTGTGCGTTGTATCTGTCTTTGTCTGTGCACTCTGCCCCGCCGTGCCACGGCGTGGCAGACACCCATGGAGACGTTGGAGCCCATATTGAGGGAGGACATTCACAAGGTACGCCGGGTTCAGGGTGGGGGAAGGTACGCCGGGTTCAGGCTGGGGGAAGCTCGGGGAGCAGTGGGGAGTTCCGGTTTCGGTTTGAGCCTCCTCCAGGGGCTGGATCTGAGAAAGCAGCAGTATGTTTGTTGTTTTTCCACTTTGGTGGTTGTTGCTTTGCCTGCACCACTGCTGACTCAACCTCCTTTCTTCCTCCTGCCTTCTCACTGCTGCCTGTGTGTGTGTGCTGTGCTGTGCTCTTGCCACTGTGTCTCTGCTGTCCCCCTGTGAGCTGCAGATATGGCAGAGTGTGCCCAAGCCACAGAAGCATCAGGACACACCCTTCGCAGACTTCTTCAACGTATGTAACCAACAGCCGTCAGCTGCTTCCCTTCCTTCCCTTCGTCCCTCCCAGCCTCTCCTTCGCCCTCCCTCCTTTCTTTCTCCCCTGTGCCACTCTTTTCCCCCTTCCATTGTTGCGTTTTCCCCTTTTGTCTCTCCTTGCTCTTCCCCCATTTCCGTTATTTCGTTGTAGCTAGCACCACACACCTACACCCCCCCACCCCCTCTCTCCCCTCCCTTCTACTGGCCTCTCTGCTTCATTTATTTTTGGATGAAGTTTGGCCCCTCCACGTGTCCCTGTGTGTGCATACGCATGCGTGTGCATGTGCGTGTGCATGTGCGTGTGCATGTGCGTGTGCATGTGCATGTGTGTGTGCATGTGCATGTGTGTGTCCATGGGTGTACAGGTGGAGGTCACAGCTCTCCCCAACTTCGAGGAGAGAGAGGAGGAGTTCAAGAGCCAGGTCAGCAGCCCTTGCCTTCAACAATTAGACGAGTTTTGAGTCCACTCAGAACTCGTAACCCTATCCCCTCGTCCAACCCCCCTCCTCCCCCCCCCCCCCTCGCCCATCGAATGGGAAAAGACCCACAGTGCTGTGGGTGGGCGTGGTTTGTTCTCTTTCACCATGCTTCCATTCGAGCATACCTCCTTGGTCGTACGGGTCTAGCACCACACCAGCTTATTCCAACCCCTCCACATCTTTCGATCTCCCTCCCCCCTGCGCTCCCGCTCCCCGTCCTCGAGGCGGCATGGCTGCGAGATCGCTTCCAGGACTAGATGGCGGAGGGGCACACTAGACTAGCACCACAGCAGCAGCGGACCTCTGAGGTTCGCGTTTCGCATCCCTTCCCCCCAATTCCCAATGCAGGTGGCATGGCTGCGAGATCGCTTCCAGGACTCGATGGCGGAGGGGCACACTAGACTAGCACCACAGCAGCAGCGGACCTCTGAGGTTCGCGTTTCGCATCCCTTCCCCCCAATTCCCAATGCAGGTGGCATGGCTGCGAGATCGCTTCCAGGACTCGATGGCGGAGGGGCACACTAGACTAGCACCACAGCAGCAGCGGACCTCTGAGGTTCGCGTTTCGCATCCCTTCCCCCCAATTCCCAATGCAGGTGGCATGGCTGCGAGATCGCTTCCAGAATTCGGTGGCGGAGGGGCGGCTGGCGGGGGACCGGCGGGGGGTGGTGCCGGCATCGGGCTTCCCCCTGAGTGTGGCGGAGATGTGGCGCGTGATTCGTGAGAACAAGGACCTCGACCTGCCCGCGCACAAGGTGTGCTGTGGGGCTCTATGCTTGCTTGTGTGGGGATGTGATTGCTCGGGGGATTGTCCAGTGTGTGTGGATGAAGGAGTGTGACCGAGTGGAGCCTTTTGGTTGCGTGCGTCCATGCGAGTGTTCTTGCACTGCTCTCGTTGCACCTTTCACTCTCGTTTTCCCCCTATCACTCTCGTTTTCCCCCTATCACTCTCGTTTTCCCCCTATCACTCTCGTTTTCCCCCTATCACTCTCGTTTTCCCCCTATCACTCTCGTTTTCCCCCTATCACTCTCGTTTTCCCCCTATCACTCTCGTTTTCCCCCTATCACTCTCGTTTTCCCCCTATCACTCTCGTTTTCCCCCTATCACTCTCGTTTTCCCCCTATCACTCTCGTTTTCCCCCTATCACTCTCGTTTTCCCCCTATCACTCTCGTTTTCCCCCTATCACTCTCGTTTTCCCCCTATCACTCTCGTTTTCCCCCTATCACTCTCGTTTTCCCCCTATCACTCTCGTTTTCCCCCTATCACTCTCGTTTTCCCCCTATCACTCTCGTTTTCCCCCTATCACTCTCGTTTTCCCCCTATCACTCTCGTTTTCCCCCTATCACTCTCGTTTTCCCCCTATCACTCTCGTTTTCCCCCTATCACTCTCGTTTTCCCCCTATCACTCTCGTTTTCCCCCTATCACTCTCGTTTTCCCCCTATCACTCTCGTTTTCCCCCTATCACTCTCGTTTTCCCCCTATCACTCTCGTTTTCCCCCTATCACTCTCGTTTTCCCCCTATCACTCTCGTTTTCCCCCTATCACTCTCGTTTTCCCCCTATCACTCTCGTTTTCCCCCTATCACTCTCGTTTTCCCCCTATCACTCTCGTTTTCCCCCTATCACTCTCGTTTTCCCCCTATCACTCTCGTTTTCCCCCTATCACTCTCGTTTTCCCCCTATCACTCTCGTTTTCCCCCTATCACTCTCGTTTTCCCCCTATCACTCTCGTTTTCCCCCTATCACTCTCGTTTTCCCCCTATCACTCTCGTTTTCCCCCTATCACTCTCGTTTTCCCCCTATCACTCTCGTTTTCCCCCTATCACTCTCGTTTTCCCCCTATCACTCTCGTTTTCCCCCTATCACTCTCGTTTTCCCCCTATCACTCTCGTTTTCCCCCTATCACTCTCGTTTTCCCCCTATCACTCTCGTTTTCCCCCTATCACTCTCGTTTTCCCCCTATCACTCTCGTTTTCCCCCTATCACTCTCGTTTTCCCCCTATCACTCTCGTTTTCCCCCTATCACTCTCGTTTTCCCCCTATCACTCTCGTTTTCCCCCTATCACTCTCGTTTTCCCCCTATCACTCTCGTTTTCCCCCTATCACTCTCGTTTTCCCCCTATCACTCTCGTTTTCCCCCTATCACTCTCGTTTTCCCCCTATCACTCTCGTTTTCCCCCTATCACTCTCGTTTTCCCCCTATCACTCTCGTTTTCCCCCTATCACTCTCGTTTTCCCCCTATCACTCTCGTTTTCCCCCTATCACTCTCGTTTTCCCCCTATCATCCCCCTATCACTCTCGTTTTCCCCCTATCACTCTCGTTTTCCCCCTATCACTCTCGTTTTCCCCCTATCACTCTCGTTTTCCCCCTATCACTCTCGTTTTCCCCCTATCACTCTCGTTTTCCCCCTATCACTCTCGTTTTCCCCCTATCACTCTCGTTTTCCCCCTATCACTCTCGTTTTCCCCCTATCACTCTCGTTTTCCCCCTATCACTCTCGTTTTCCCCCTATCACTCTCGTTTTCCCCCTATCACTCTCGTTTTCCCCCTATCACTCTCGTTTTCCCCCTATCACTCTCGTTTTCCCCCTATCACTCTCGTTTTCCCCCTATCACTCTCGTTTTCCCCCTATCACTCTCGTTTTCCCCCTATCACTCTCGTTTTCCCCCTATCACTCTCGTTTTCCCCCTATCACTCTCGTTTTCCCCCTATCACTCTCGTTTTCCCCCTATCACTCTCGTTTTCCCCCTATCACTCTCGTTTTCCCCCTATCACTCTCGTTTTCCCCCTATCACTCTCGTTTTCCCCCTATCACTCTCGTTTTCCCCCTATCACTCTCGTTTTCCCCCTATCACTCTCGTTTTCCCCCTATCACTCTCGTTTTCCCCCTATCACTCTCGTTTTCCCCCTATCACTCTCGTTTTCCCCCTATCACTCTCGTTTTCCCCCTATCACTCTCGTTTTCCCCCTATCACTCTCGTTTTCCCCCTATCATCACCCCATCCCTACAAGAGATGGTGACGCTAGCGGTGCCCTGTGAGTAGATCGCCACGGAGGCGATAGTTGCTTATCCCCCTCTCTTCCCTTTTCCCCTCCCCACGTTGTCTCTTCCCCACCTCGTCTCCTTCCCCCCCCCCGTCTCTTCCCACCCCTCCGTCCCACTCCACTCCTCTCCACCGCACTGCACCCCACCAGGTGATGGTGGCGACGGTGCGCTGCGAGCAGATCGCCACGGAGAAGCTCGCGCTGCTGCAGGACAGCGAGGTGAGGAGCTGTGCAGTGAGGTGAGCTGGGCCTGTGCTTGCGATGCATGCATGCTTGCAGCCATCCAGAATATTCTTCCCCTTCCCTTCCCCCTTGATTTTCCTCATTTGCACTATTGAAACCCCACTTGCTTCTCTTCTGCCTAGCACCTACCACTGCACTGCACACAGCCGTGGATTCTCTTTCTGTTCCAACCCCCATCCTCTTGTGCTCTCTCTCCCCCTCACGTCCCACCCCTCCTCACGCTCCACTCCTCCCCCCTGCCCCGTCCCCCTGTGCATCAGGAGTGGGTGGAGGTGCAGGCAGCAGTGGAGGCGGGCAGGGAGGCAGAGCACTTTGGTGGGTGGGCCAATGACCTCGCAGCTAGTGCACTCGCCACGTGAGTGAAGGGGCAATGGTGGCGTGGGGTGGCACAGCATGGCTTGGTTGGTATGGATGGCATGACTTGAGATTGTAAGGCATGAAGGTGGGTGGACTGCCGTGTGCTGCCATGCCGTGGCACAAGTTCAGATGCTCAGTTCTCACGAGGCATGGCGTGGCGTGGCGTGGCATGGTATGGCATGGTATGGTATTACAAGCATTGCATTATTCTGATTTCTACGTCCTCTCTTTTCTCACTGCTTTTCGTTGTATACCCTTCGTCCTCTGCTCGTCTCCTTCCTCTCTCCATTCTCCCATCCTCCTCCCTCTACTTCCCTTCCTCTGCCCTTTTCCACTCATGACGAGAAGGCAGTCACACTTAGAAGAAAGGAGGGAAGAAACTTACAGTGCCCTGTCTTCACGCTCCCATCACCAGTCTCCATTTCTCTTAGCTACGACTCAGAGGCGGCATCCCTGTATGCGAGTTTGCGGGGCGTGCACCATGTTTGCCTTTTCCTCATTGCCTCCAATGCACTGCCTCCCCCGCACTGCCTCCCCCGCACTGCCTGCCCTGCACCTTTCCTGCACTGCCTGTCAGGTACGACGCAGAGGCGGCATACTTCGAGGAGGGTGTGAGGGACAGCAAGCGTCAGTTCCTGCTCAAAGGCATGAGCGCCGTGAGTGGGGGACGAGTGAAGGGGGATGGATGGCTTATCGTATTTCCTCGTTCTTTCCTCGTTCATTATCTTATCCTCTATCCTCGTTCTTTCCTCGTTCATTATCTTATCCTCGTCCTTTCCTCGTTCATTATCGTATCCTCGTTCTGTTATCCTAGCGCGTTCTTTCCTCGTTCATTATCTTATCCGCGTTCTTTCCTCGTTCATTATCTTATCCGCGTTCTTTCCTCGTTCATTATCTTATCCGCGTTCTTTCCTCGTTCATTATCTTATCCGCGTTCTTTCCTCGTTCATTATCTTATCCGCGTTCTTTCCTCGTTCATTATCTTATCCGCGTTCTTTCCTCGTTCATTATCTTATCCGCGTTCTTTCCTCGTTCATTACCTTATCTGCGTTCGTTCCTCGTTCATTATCTTATCCGCGTTCTTTCCTCGTTCATTATCTTATCCGCGTTCTTTCCTCGTTCATTATCTTATCCGCGTTCTTTCCTTGTTCATTATCTTATCTGCATTCTTTCCTCGTTCATTATCTTATCCGCGTTCTTTCCTCGTTCATTATCTTATCCGCGTTCTTTCCTCGTTCATTATCTTATCCGCGTTCTTTCCTCGTTCATTATCTTATCCGCGTTCTTTCCTCGTTCATTATCTTATCCGCGTTCTTTCCTCGTTCATTATCTTATCCGCGTTCTTTCCTCGTTCATTATCTTATCCTTGTTCTTTCCTCGTTCATTATCTTATCCGCGTTCTTTCCTCGTTCATTATCTTATCCGCGTTCTTTCCTCGTTCATTATCTTATCCTCGTTAATTATCTTATCCGCGTTATTTCCTCGTTCATCCCTGGATAAAGGGTTACAGATTGTAAGCTTTTGATTGTTTGTTTTTTTTTATTACAACATCTAAGAGCCGCAATAACGTGCTGCCTACAATATCTCCAATCCAACTATCAGAGTCTCCTTAAATTATCAGCAAGGAACAGTCAACAAAGGCTCCCTCGAATTCGCACTGATAAAACTACATCTACATCCCTGTCCCACCCCCGCTACCAACACCACCACCCTCACCGACTGCTGCGTCCGCCCCTTCCTCCTCCTCCTCCCCATCATCCTCCTCGTCCTCCTCGTCGTCGTCCTCCGCACCCTCGCCCTCATGCTTCGACCCTTCTCGGGCGGCGGCCCTCGCCGATCCTCTGGCCCGGGTGCGATCCATACCACGATCGGAGAATCATGCAGGCTTGCGCCCTCTCAGAGTTCACACGGTGACGCTTCCAGGAGATGAGGTTGCGGCCCAGCGAGAACACGCGCTCGCTGGCAGCAGACGTGGCAGGGATAGTGAGATAATCCCTCGCCATCCGCTTCAGCCTCTCCATGTTGGTGGAGGTGCGCCAGTACTCTAGCGCTGACACGTCGCACCGTACCCGCTCGGACAAGTACCTGCTGACCTCATCATCCTGCACAAGACCACCCCCCCCCCGGCCGCCTGGCTCGCCGTCAGGCGCGCCGCAAGGCGTCCGCGACTAGGGAGATACTGGTCGTCCTCGTCCTCCCCCTCCTCTCCCTCCTGCTCCTCTACGACCGTGGGAAGTGTAGTGGGCCGAGGAGCCAGCTCCCTAGCCGCCGCCTGGTACGCCGCCACGCGCTCCCGTACCAGCGCGATCACATCGCTCGACGCTGGGCGCGGCCTCTCCCTCCGCTCTGTCTCTGGATGCTGCTTCTCCCAGTGGTCGTCGTCGAACCACGCCGCCTTCATCGAGGGGTCCAGAAAGGTGGTGATGCAGTGCTCATTGCTGCTGATGTAGGCGTACTTCTTTAGGACTTTAAGCGCCTTCTCGACCAGAGGCCGCAACGTCGCCGATGGCCCCTTGGCCAGTTGAGCCTCCATGGCGTCGATGAGGCCGTTGTAGTACGGCACCACCATCGACACCGTCGGGTATGTCGTCCCCTCGGCTGCCTTGGAGACCTTGTTGAAGGGGCTGAGAAACGTTCTCAACTCCTTCAACAACTCCCACTGCTCGTCCGAAAGGCGCAGCTTTTCCACCTTATCCTTGTCCGTTTTCGACAGGCCTTGTCAGGATTTAGGGACATAATGCATAAAGGAAAGGGATTAGAACTGGGTTTTAGGTAAAGCAATTCATGTGCGCCCCACCACGCCACGCCATGCCACCCCATGCCACGCCACGCCACCCCATGCCACGCCCCACCACACCATGCCACACCATGCCACACCATGCCACACCATGCCATACCATGCAGGGCCACGCCATGCCACAACATGCCATGCCATGATGTGCCACACCATGCCACGTCATGCCACACCATGCCACGTCATGCCACACCATGTGCCACACCATGCCACGCCATGCCACGCCATGCCATGCCACGCCATGCCACGCCATGCCACACCATGCCATGCCATGATGTGCCACACCATGCCACGCCATGCCACGCCATGCCATGCCACGCCATGCCACGCCATGCCACACCATGCCATGCCATGATGTGCCACACCATGCCACGCCATGCCACGCCATGCCACGCCATGCCACGCCATGCCACGCCATGCCACGCCATGCCACGCCATGCCACGCCATGCCATGCCACGCCATGCCACGCCATGCCATGCCATGCCATGCCACACCATGCCACACCATGCCACACCATGCCACACCATGCCACGCCATGCCACACCATGCCACACCCTGCCACACCATGCCATGCCATGCCATGCCACACCATGCCATGCCACACCATGCCATGCCACACCATGCCATGCCACACCATGCCATGCCATGATGTGCCATAGCATGCCACGCCATGCCACGCCATGCCACGCCATGCCACGCCATGCCATGCCATGCCACGCCATGCCACGCCATGCCATGCCATGCCATGCCACACCATGCCACACCATGCCACACCATGCCACGCCATGCCACACCATGTGCCACACCATGCCACACAATCCCATCCCACAAATCCCATGCAACTTTCACACCATATACCTGGGTCGAGGCAAAGAAACACAGTGATCGGGTTTTGCAGCACAAGGACGCGGTCGACCATGGCGTGAGTCGACCCCCACCGGGTAGGACTGTCCTGCACCAGCTTCAACGCTGGTTTCATGACACGAGCCTGCAAGTTCAAGCTCCGCAAAAGGCCTAGAAACGCCCCCGATCGCTGCGGCGAGTACCCAACCCAAGACGCCATATCTCTGAGCACCTTCAGCAGGTCGCGAATGGCTCGCACCTTCAATCCCTTTTGCACTTTGTTAACCACATGTGACAGGCACCTGGGCAACACAGCGGCAGAGGCATGGGTTTTGGGAGGTAGTAACACATGGTCATTGCCAGACGTGGGGAGTTACCACAATCCATAATACACCCACACACACCCACCGAACCGACCCTTGAAAGCCACCCAAACATCACCCCCAGTCCCACGCATACCTGAAGTGCAGGCGAGAGTTGAAGAAAGCCCGTCCACCACCCTCCTCCGACAACCGCCTGAACGCGGCAATGTTGGCCGAGGCGTTGTCAGAGGTGAGGCCCAGACAACGCCCCTCCAACCGCCAGTGCACCACTGTCTCCTCCACAACCTGCGCAATCTCCGCTGCCCCATGACGCCCCGTCAGCTCGCGAAACTCCAGCACTGCCTCGCGAAGCTGAAGCGACTCGTCGATCCAGTGACCTGTCACAACCAGCCAAGCCTTGCCGTTGGGTGCAGTCCAGATGTGGATGGTGTAGGACACCTTGCATCCCAACTCCCCCTCCTTCGCCAGCAACTCCGCAATGGCCGCCTGCAGCGCGGCCGCAGCAAAAACCACAGTGTCGCGTGCAACCGTCCAGCGCGAGGGTATGAAGTTCCGCTGCCCGCAGTTGTGGTTGCATAGGGTCAATAGCTCGCGAAACTGGTGGGGTGGGTGGGACGATAAACAAAGAGCTTGTGTAAAGGTTTCGAGGCGATTGCAAAACCTTACATCATGAGCAAGACTGTATATACAATCCATCCAGACCGCACCATGCCACACCATGCCACGCCATGCCGGAACCAACCACACCACACCAACCACACCCAGCAATAAACCCTTACTGCCTCGGCCTCCACAGTCTTGAAGGGAAGGTCGCAGGTCACCACCAACTTGGCGATCGCCTGACGCAGCTCCACCTGGGACACCACCTTCGACATGTAGCTCTTGATCCCCTCCCCGCCTGACCCCTCCGCCCCTTGCCGCCCTGCCTTCCCTCCATTCTTTGGGAGGTTAGGCCAGCTAGTGGCATGCGGCCAATCATATACGTAACCATCCGGCACTTCCACGTAGCCCCCCCTCGGAAACGTCTCGCCAGGGCAGCTGCAAATGTGGATGGTGGTAACGGTGAAACCACACATCCATATGAGCAGTGTGGTAGCTCTCGAAGTGGCGCTCGCCAGGGGTAGTGGTAGATCCCCTCCATGAAATCCGGTCAGTACAAATCTTGCACTGCCGCTTGTCATCGGACCCCTTAGGCCCGAACATCTTCACTTGCCACCCCCGTTTTTTCCTGCCCTTGCCACTCCCCCTGCTACTCTTGAACCCTCCCTCCTCGTCCAGGAACTCCGGGGTAACCACGCCCTCACCCAAACCAACCCCAGTGAACGTGCAAGGATACGCTCTAGGCCGCAACTTCTCAGCTTTCTTCTTCCGGTTCGGCTTCCCAATGGACGCCCTCTTTCGCCCAACAGGAACACCGCCGCGCCCCCTTCCTCTACCCATGCGATGAGACGCCTCCTCCGCGGCTACCCCTCCTCCCTCACCAACCCCCTCCTCCGCCCCCTCTGGCTCCAGTCCAGCCCTTCCATCTCCTCATCTCATCTTCATCTCCCCCCCCGTCCCCACCGCCATGCGTATCGGGTGTCCACTCCGGCTCACTATCATTCCCGCTCCCCTCCTCCTCCTCCTCCTCCTCCTGCTCCTCCTCGTCCCCCTCCTCGTTCTCCTCTGCCTCCTCGTCCGCCTCACTATCGCTCCGAGTGGTGGTGCGCGTCTGACCAGAAGGAAGGGGTCGGTCACCCGAGTAACGGAACGACTGACGAGATGAGGGAATCGGCATGGAGAGAAGGCCACCGACGAAATAAGCACCTACTCCTCCAGGGCCGTCACCTACACGACCCTGCATAGGTCGTGATGGAGATGATGGAGTTCCGCCATGACTGCTGCCTCCACCCCGTTCTACAGAAGGGTGTTGGTGGGAGGCCATTTCCCGCGACGGACAATAAAACCTAAACCCTAGGTGGAACGCTAATGCGGCGGGAGAGGTGGGGAATGTATCTAATATGATGAAGCTCAGGTCACGCGGTGACCGTAGAGGATCACAGTGTCTACAGCGACGGCGGGAAGTGTTCTCTATTTATGGTAACGTTCAACGGTGGACACGCTTAACCCTAGACCAAATACTACTTCTTGCCACACTACCATTGATGGTACTTTCTACTTGTTAATATCCCAATCATGTCAAGTCGCCTAATAGATGAAGCACCATTGTTGGTTGGCATTAGGGGATGGTGGTAGGTAGGTAGAGTGCGGGCTGGTGACATTGTCCTGGTCGCGAGGTACTTAAGCTAAAATAAATGATCTCAAACAGAATTGGCCGCGACCCTAAAATTAGGTCGCGGCCAAATCGTCGACGAACACCTCGGTGTTCGTCGATGCCACGCGCCGAACACGAACATGTTCGTGTTCGACGCGGCTCGGCACCCCGACGCAGGCGAACATCGAACATGTTCGCCCGAACCTCGAACATGTTCGAGCCGAACATTTTCGGGTAAAAAAAAAACCCGTTCGGCTATGTGCTCATCCCTACCCTTAGTTCTCCTCGCGCATGTGTTCCCCATGCTCTATCCCTTCTGTTACCCCTCCCTGCCGTCCGTCTACCACCCAATCAGCTCGCCCAGTGCACACAACACAGCAGTGGTGGCAGCAGCAGAAGGAGAGCGCTGTCTCGACTCATCCAAGAGGGACCTGGACGATGCCACAGGCGGCTGCAAGGGTAGAGCTGCTTCCGTTTCCCTCTCTGACGACTTTTCATTCGATCAAAGATATTGTCTTCCTCCCCTTCCCCTTCCGCCGCCATCCCCTTCCCCTCCCTCTCTCTCCCCCCATCAGCTCATCCGCCCAGTGCACACGGCAGTGGTGGCGGCGGCAGCAGCGCGCTGCCTGGACTCGTTCAAGAGGGACCTGGACGATGCCACAGGGGGTCGCGAGGGCAGCGCTGCTTCCTTTGCTGATTCTGCTGCCGCCTGCCTCCAGGCCGCCGCACTTTCTTTCGAGTCCGATGTTGAGGGTGAGTGGCACTGAGGGTGAGTGGCACTGAGGGTGAGTGGCACTGAGGGTGAGTGGCACTGAGGGTGAGTGGCACTGAGGGTGAGTGGCACTGAGGGTGAGCGGCACTGAGGGTGAGTGGTGTGGTGCAGTGCCATGGAAACAGGGTGCTAGCTTGCCGTGCCACTGCTCCTCTTGTCTCTCCTGCCGCCCGTTTGCAGGCTGCTGCACTTTACTTTGAGCCTGACGTTGAGGGTGAGTGGTGGCGTGGTGCCGTGCAGTCATAGTAAAATGGCACTAGCTTGCACTGCTGTACTGCCACTGCTGTACTGCCACTGCTATACTGCCACTGCTGTACTGCCACTGCTGTACTGCCACTGCTGTACTGCCACTGCTGTACTGCCACTGCTGTACTGCCACTGCTGTACTGCCACTGCTGTACTGCCACTGCTGTACTGCCACTGCTGTACTGCCACTGCTGTACTGCCACTGCTGTACTGCCACTGCTGTACTGCCACTGCTGTACTGCCACTGCTGTACTGCCACTGCTGTACTGCCACTGCTGTACTGCCACTGCTGTACTGCCACTGCTGTACTGCCACTGCTGTACTGCCACTGCTGTACTGCCACTGCTGTACTGCCACTGCTGTACTGCCACTGCTGTACTGCCACTGCTGTACTGCCACTGCTGTACTGCCACTGCTGTACTGCCACTGCTGTACTGCCACTGCTGTACTGCCACTGCTGTACTGCCACTGCTGTACTGCCACTGCTGTACTGCCACTGCTGTACTGCCACTGCTGTACTGCCACTGCTGTACTGCCACTGCTGTACTGCCACTGCTGTACTGCCACTGCTGTACTGCCACTGCTGTACTGCCACTGCTGTACTGCCACTGCTGTACTGCCACTGCTGTACTGCCACTGCTGTACTGCCACTGCTGTACTGCCACTGCTGTACTGCCACTGCTGTACTGCCACTGCTGTACTGCCACTGCTGTACTGCCACTGCTGTACTGCCACTGCTGTACTGCCACTGCTGTACTGCCACTGCTGTTCTGCCACTGCTGTACTGCCACTGCTGTACTGCCACTGCTGTACTGCCACTGCTGTACTGCCACTGCTGTACTGCCACTGCTGTACTGCCACTGCTGTACTGCCACTGCTGTACTGCCACTGCTGTACTGCCACTGCTGTACTGCCACTGCTGTACTGCCACTGCTGTACTGCCACTGCTGTACTGCCACTGCTGTACTGCCACTGCTGTACTGCCACTGCTGTACTGCCACTGCTGTACTGCCACTGCTGTACTGCCACTGCTGTACTGCCACTGCTGTACTGCCACTGCTGTACTGCCACTGCTGTACTGCCACTGCTGTACTGCCACTGCTGTACTGCCACTGCTGTACTGCCACTGCTGTACTGCCACTGCTGTACTGCCACTGCTGTACTGCCACTGCTGTACTGCCACTGCTGTACTGCCACTGCTGTACTGCCACTGCTGTACTGCCACTGCTGTACTGCCACTGCTGTACTGCCACTGCTGTACTGCCACTGCTGTACTGCCACTGCTGTACTGCCACTGCTGTACTGCCACTGCTGTACTGCCACTGCTGTACTGCCACTGCTGTACTGCCACTGCTGTACTGCCACTGCTGTACTGCCACTGCTGTACTGCCACTGCTGTACTGCCACTGCTGTACTGCCACTGCTGTACTGCCACTGCTGTACTGCCACTGCTGTACTGCCACTGCTGTACTGCCACTGCTGTACTGCCACTGCTGTACTGCCACTGCTGTACTGCCACTGCTGTACTGCCACTGCTGTACTGCCACTGCTGTACTGCCACTGCTGTACTGCCACTGCTGTACTGCCACTGCTGTACTGCCACTGCTGTACTGCCACTGCTGTACTGCCACTGCTGTACTGCCACTGCTGTACTGCCACTGCTGTACTGCCACTGCTGTACTGCCACTGCTGTACTGCCACTGCTGTACTGCCACTGCTGTACTGCCACTGCGGTACTGCCACTGCAGCACTGCCACTGCTGTACTGCCACTGCTGTACTGCCACTGCTGTACTGCCACTGCTGTACTGCCACTGCTGTACTGCCACTGCTGTACTGCCACTGCTGTACTGCCACTGCTGTACTGCCACTGCTGTACTGCCACTGCTGTACTGCCACTGCTGTACTGCCACTGCTGTACTGCCACTGCTGTACTGCCACTGCTGTACTGCCACTGCTGTACTGCCACTGCTGTACTGCCACTGCTGTACTGCCACTGCTGTACTGCCACTGCTGTACTGCCACTGCTGTACTGCCACTGCTGTACTGCCACTGCTGTACTGCCACTGCTGTACTGCCACTGCTGTACTGCCACTGCTGTACTGCCACTGCTGTACTGCCACTGCTGTACTGCCACTGCTGTACTGCCACTGCTGTACTGCCACTGCTGTACTGCCACTGCTGTACTGCCACTGCTGTACTGCCACTGCTGTACTGCCACTGCTGTACTGCCACTGCTGTACTGCCACTGCTGTACTGCCACTGCTGTACTGCCACTGCTGTACTGCCACTGCTGTACTGCCACTGCTGTACTGCCACTGCTGTACTGCCACTGCTGTACTGCCACTGCTGTACTGCCACTGCTGTACTGCCACTGCTGTACTGCCACTGCTGTACTGCCACTGCTGTACTGCCACTGCTGTACTGCCACTGCTGTACTGCCACTGCTGTACTGCCACTGCTGTACTGCCACTGCTGTACTGCCACTGCTGTACTGCCACTGCTGTACTGCCACTGCTGTACTGCCACTGCTGTACTGCCACTGCTGTACTGCCACTGCTGTACTGCCACTGCTGTACTGCCACTGCTGTACTGCCACTGCTGTACTGCCACTGCTGTACTGCCACTGCTGTACTGCCACTGCTGTACTGCCACTGCTGCTCCTCCTGCCTGCACATGCCACGCGTGCAACCGATGCTTGCGGCCATTTCCAGTTGATCATTTGGCTGGCGAGGTGGGCGACCACGACAACCAGGCCTGCTGTTGTGCTCAACGTGACATAGATTCTGTCTCTGCCCCATGATTCCAGACGCTGACGTGGCGCTGTTCAATTGGTCGGTGGACGAAGTGAGGACGAAGCTTATGGCGGACATGGAATCCCACGTGGCGTCGCTGCGATCCCAGAAGCTCAAACAAATCGTCACAGATGCAGAGGTGTGTGCGTGTGAGCGCTGCAGATGCATAGGTGCGTGGTGTTGCTCATGATTGTAGCGGTTATTTGTTTTACTTTATTTTAATTTATTTTTTTTGTTAAGGTAGATTCATACAGGGGGGAATCTTGTTGATCCATTATTAGGATATCGTTAACAGTGTTGCGGTGGCTGAGCTGAAAGAAGTGCACTCAATTACCCCTCTCCTACCACTCAAGAACCCCTCTCCTACCACTCAAGAACCCCTCTCCTACCACTCAATTACCCCTCTCCTACCACTCAAGAACCCCTCTCCTACCACTCAATTACCCCTCTCCTACCACTCAAGAACCCCTCTCGTACCACTCAATTACCCCTCTCCTACCACTCAAGAACTGTTAGAAAACTGAATGATGATATCATTAAGGAAAGGAGAGGTTTACATAGTTGGAGAAGGAGGGATGAGTTGGATGAGGGCCTTGTCACAATTATTGGCCCTCACCAATAAGTTGGGGTCACCAATTATTGGAGGGGCCAATAATTGTGGTAGAGGACCACAAATACTGAACCTCCAATAATGGGGAGCTCAATTATTGGGGGGTCACAATATTGGACCAAGGTTGGGTTGGCCCAACCCCTGGGCAAACCCTGATTCTACACCCAAGCTAAGCTTGGATGCTTATATCTACCCAAGACTTAATAGTCTGAGCATGATACAAGAATAGGAGTATTCTAACACAACCCCTTATCATGCACAAGACAAGAAAGTCTTGGGAAGAAGTCGCAACCCCTGAATTAGCCACTGCAGGAGGGGGGAGCGAGCCCAAGCAGGGGAAGGAGCGAGGAGTGCACAGAGCGAGAGAGTGCCTTGGTGAAAATGTCCGCAGGGTTCGCAGAGGAGTCAATCTTGCGGATCGTGATGTGACCGTCATTGACGAGGTCACGAATGAAATAGTGACGGAGTTCAATGTGTTTGGAGCGTCCATGGAAGACTCTTCTTTGGTGAGGTGGATGGTGCTGGCGTTGTCGCACCAAATGGCAGGACATGGCTGGGGGGCGCCAAGATCAGCGAGAAGGTAGGACAACCAACGCGCCTCTTGAGCAGCCATGGTGACAGCATAAGGTTCTGCTTCGCAGGAGGAGAGGGAGATGGAGGAGGAGCGAGTGGAGCGCCAGCTAATGAGGCCGCTGCCAAGGGAGAAGCCATAGCCTTGACTGCTGCGGCGGTCAGGTTGGGAGTCAGCCCAGGAGGAGTCGCTGTACCCAGTAAGAGTGGGGGGGGTGGGGCCGCCAAGAGTAAGGACGTGATCCTTGGTGCCGCGAAGGTACCGAAGGACGCGCTTGGCAGCACGCCAGTGCTCAGTGGTGTGTTTGCCAGTGCCAACGAATCGTGCGAGAACGCTGATCGGGTAGGCAAGGTCAGGGCGGGTGCAGATCATGGCATACATCAGTGCCCCAACAAGTTCAGCGTAGGGGTCAGAAGAGTTGGAGGGTGTAGTGGGTGGGGTGAGTTGATGGCCAACGCGAAGAGGCGTGGAGATGGGTTTGGCAGTGGCCATGGCAAAGCGTTTCAGCACCTTCTCGATGTAGAAGCTTTGAGAAAGAGAGATGGTGCGCGCCTCCAAGTCCCGAGTGATTTCCATCCCGAGGTAATTGCGAACCTCACCCAGGTCTTTGCACGCAAGCCGCTGCTGAAGTTGATCTTTGACGTCCTGAAGATCAGTGGGGGATGCAGTGGCAAGGAGCATGTCATCCACGTAGACAAGGATGTAGAAAGCGGAGGGCGAGGTGCGGATGAAGAGGCACGGGGCGACTTTGGAGGGGCGGAAGCCAAGGTCCTTGAGTGTGGAGGAGAGCTTGGCATGCCACTCGCGTGGTGCCTGTTTGAGACCGTAGACGGGGCGGCAAAGTTTCCAGACCGTTGAGGGATCAAATGGCGCCGAGAATCCCTGGGGCCGTTCCATGAAAATAGTTTCGTGCAGGTCCCCTTGTAGAAACGCAGTGGTAACATCCATGGAATGTAAGAGCATTCCACAGCGGCCGACGAAGTCGAGAAACACTCGAACGACCGGAGGGGCGGTTGTGGGAGAATAAGTCTCAAAGAAGTCGGAGCCGTGGGTCTGTGTGAACCCTTTGGCGCAGTAGCGAGCCTTGTAGACGGGAGACTCGCCGAGAAGCAGTTTCACCCGAAAGACCCATTTTCCTTTGACGACATTGGAGGAGGTGGGTCGGGGAACATCGATGAAGGTGCCGTTGCGGACAAAGGAGGATATTTCCTTGGCCATAGCCTTGACCCAAAGAGGGGCATCGAGGCATGCCATGGCTTCTTCGTAGGTGGTGGGTTCGAAGATGGTAGGCGCCCCTGAGAAGAGAAGAACGGGGATGCCGGTCATAGTGCGAACAATGGGGGCGCGAGAGGGTTGGCAGAGGTGGAGGTAGAGAAGTTCGTCATGCGTGTCCTCAAAGAGAAGAGGGGAGAGAGGGGGGGGGATAGAGGAGGATGGGAGGTGGTTGCGCAGAGGGAAGGTGAGGGCGGGTCACTGGACTGCTGCTCTGCTGCTCTGCTGCTCGGCTGCTCTGCTGCTCTGCTGCTCGGCTGCTCGGCTGCTCGGCTGCTCTGCTGCTTGGCTGCTCTGCTGCTCGGCTGCTCTGCTGCTCTTCTGTTCTGCTGCTCTGCTGCTCTGCTGCTCTGCTGCTCTGCTGCTCTGCTGCTCTGCTGCTCGGCTCTGCTGCTGCGCTGTTGCTCTGCATTCCTGGCACGCTGGGTGTCAGTGACTCGGCTGCGAGGGGGAGCCGGAGTTGGGTGAAGGTGGCGATGACGAGGGAGTGCACTGGTGGGGAGGGAGGGGGAACTGAGGATAGGGGGGGAGGGAGTGCAGGACAGTGTGTGTGGAAGGAGAGGGGGGCCAAGGATGGGGTCGAGGGAGCGGGTGTGGGGGCGTGGTTGAAGAATAATGGATGGGACAGGGCGGGAAGGAGGGGGGGGGGGCAGAGGGGGAGGGGAGGAGGGGGCGGGGGATGAGTGAGGGGAGGGAGGGAGGGGAGGGGCGATGGATTGGGAGGGGGAGGGGGGAATGGCGGGGTCAAGGATGTCACCGGAGGAGTCTGAGGCGGGGGGATCAGAGGGAGTGGGGGGAGCTGGGGCTGGGGGGATTACCGGGGGAGGGGGGAGAAGCGGAAGGGAGGTTGTGTCAGTCCATCGGAGAGGGCGGGAGGGGAGGGTGAGGGGGTCAGTGGGGGGTGGAGAAGAGTAGTAGGGTGTGGATTCATCGAAAATGACATCACGGCTGCGAATGAGGCGTCCTGAGGGAGGGTGGAGGAAGAGATAATCCGGGGAGGAAGGGTTGTGACCAAGGTAGATGCAAGGAAGGGTTTTATCAGCAAGTTTGCCAGCTGCACGAGGGCGGTCTGTGGGGTGAATGAGGACATGGGCTTTAGAGCCCCAGACACGAAGAGGGGAGACGTCGGGTTTGGTAGAGGTCCATAGCTCAGTGGGGGTGATGGAGGGACGACTGGGGTGGGGGTAGAGGTTAGTGAGAAGTGCGGCGTGGAGAAGTGCATATCCCCAAAAGGAGGGTGGGCAGGAAGCGTGAACTAAGAGGCACCGGGCTGTCTTGGTGATTTCGCGGATACGGCTTTCGGCTACACCGTTTTGCTGAGGGGAGTGGGGAAGGTTAAGTGTCACAGGATCGAATTCTCATTCGAAAACGTGTCACTAAAATTGAATACAAGGCGTTTTTATACTCGGAAATTACAAGGATAATGAGATAAGACGAACATTCGGGAACACACCCTTTCCCGATGCCACAATCACAAGTGCGCACAAGCACACAAGGCTATTGGCACTTGGGATTACGCCCAGATTACACCGTATACACCACTGTCGGCGCTGGCGGTGCCGTATAGTAAATGTGTCGGTGGGAAAAATAGGAAATAAGTGAAATAAAGAGAAGGCTCTAGAAAATAGAATAGTAGGCCGATTGAGATGAAATAAAGACCAGAATAAAGAGGAGAAAAATTAGAATAAGATAAAGAGAAAATATAATAATGACAACTATAATAATGGGAATGTCCTCTCACACTTCCCCCCCTCAAAGCTGGGTGGTAGAAGTAACACCCTGCTTGACAAGGTAGTCCTGGAGAGGATGACGGGCGTTATCCATGTCGTTTTCAGGTACCCAGCTATCCTCAGAAGGATCATAGCCTTTCCAACGAATCAAGAGCTCCAAGGTGCCGTTACGTCGTCGTCGATGCGCCAGAACAGCTTCGACTTCGTACTCAGGTTCCCCATTAACGATCACTGGCGGTGGCGGCGGCGGTTGGCGACCTTTGAAGACCGTGTTTGGGTCCCGATATGGCTTGAGAAGTTGAACATGGAAGGCATTGTGAATCTTCCAAGTAGCTGGTAAACGCAAGCGGAAGGTTACTGGAGTAACCTGCGCCTCGACGAGGAAAGGTCCGCAGAAGCGAGGTCGGAGCTTAGACGGAAGATGGCTGATGTCGAGATTGCGTGTATCCAGAAGCACTTGATCGCCAATCTTGATGGAGTGATCGTTGCGACTCCGATCAGCGAGCTTCTTATGCTGCTGCTGGATAGTTAGAAGGCGTTTATGAGTGCGCTCCCACAATTGGTGCATAGCGGTAACGAAGTCATGTGCGGGTTGCACCGTGGCGGGTACTGTCGGTTTCTGAGGCGTGAGTGGATTTCGACCGTAACAGAGGAAGAAAGGGGTCTGTCCTGTTGCGGCGTGTGTAGCGTTGTTGTACGCAAACTCGAGAACCGGCAGGTGCGCATCCCATTTGGAGATATCGTCCTTACACGCTGCTCGCAGAAGCTGTTCAACAATCTGGTTGAGGCGCTCTGTCTGACCATCCGTTTGGGAATGATAGGCTCATGACATGGCGAGTTTGGTCCCCATGAGCGACATGAGCTCCTTCTAGAATTTACTTGTGAATTTTGGATCTCTGTCGGAGATCAGCGTGGTCGGAATGCCATGCTGCGAGATGACATAGCGGAAGAATAAT